AGAGAAAAATGTCTGAAACTTTTAAAAAACTTGATTAGAAGGAATCATGCGAGAGAGAGATCCCTTTGGGAGAAATATATGGGGTGACAATGACAGCAAATGCAACTCAATGAACCTGCCTATGACTAAAGATAGTTCCTCCTTCACTATTCTGATTGACTCATTAATTTCTAGCTTCAGGTGTGAACAGGCTTACTAGTGCCTCTTCCAAAGCCTCCAGGGGCCCAGAACCTTTAACACAGACTTAGAAACATGTAGGGCACAAATGGGTTCTCTAAGAGATTAGCTGGATAAAAAAGTACTTTCTTCTTAAAGTGCAAATATGTTTCATAAACTTAAAGCTTATTCACACCTTCCAAAAAGAAAACAAACCAAACCCACTGCCACTGAATCGGGATCAACTTAATGCAACCCTACAGAAGTGTGACTTTGGGTTTCCAAGACTGTAAATCTCTACAGGCACACATAGCTTCATTTTTCTTGCATGACGTAACTGGTGGGTTTGAAACTGCAGTTAGCAACTCAATGTGTAGACCACTACTCCATCACGACTCTTACTTTAGTGAAGGTACATTACCTTCTGCCCGATAGTGTGGCTGTTTGAGACGCTTGCCTGTCGCTAAAGCAGATCTGCCAGTGGCTCAGTGTGAGCTGATACTTCGCAGATGGACTTTATGCTCTCACTATCCCCCCAATAGCCCTCCACAAGTTGGGTGTTCAGAATTTTTGCTCTGAAGCTTTTCTCCTCACCATATTCGAGTTCTGTAATTGTCATCCTTGGATCACACAGGTTGGTGTGCTTCTTCCATGTGGACTTAGTTGATTCCTTACTTAGATGGCTGCTTGTTGGAATACAAGTCTTTAAGACCCCATGACTCTAGACACTATTCTGATTGATAGCCAGGCACCATCTGGTTTCTCCACCACACTTTGCTGTAGCACCCTATCTTCAGTGATCATTTCATGAAAGTGAGTATGTGGCAGAGCCATGATGTAATTGTTCTTGATACAATTCCCCTTGATATGATTGAACAATTGAACTATTCGATGGTATGATATGTAAATTATATGCCAATAAAACTGTGGGGGGGAAACAAAGGAGAGCTCAATTTGGGCTATATGTTAGGCATTAGGATGCTAACCATAAAGCCAATGGTTCAAATCTACCAGCAGCTTTGAGGGAAGATGAGTCGATCTGCTCCCATGAAGGATTACATCTTAGAAATCCTATATAAGATCACTATGCGCCTCTGGTTTCCTATTTGCAGTTACTTGAATTAAAAAAAAAATCCTTAAAAAAAAAAAATCACTAAGTGCCAGAATCAACTTGGTGGCAATGGATTTGATTTTGGTTTTATTAAGAAAACTCTGCACTTTAGAAACAGGAATATGAATGAGTGTAAGAAGAAAGTTAAGTCCAAGGCACATGAACAAAAACGGCTGCCAAAAGGAGCCCTGGTAGTACAGTGGGCTATGAGTTGGGCTGTTAACTGTACGGTCAGCAGTTTGCAGTTCAAAACCACCAGTTGCTCAGAGGGTGAAGAGATGAGGCTTCTATCGCTGTAAAGCCTCAGAAACCCACAGGGGCAGTTCTCTCTCCTATAGAGTTGTACGCATTAGAACTGGAACAATGGCAGTGAGTTATTACAGTTTTTTCCAAACACAGCATTACATTAATTTGATTGCCCAAACAGCATTACACCGTAAAAGAGAGTTTCTCAATGTTTTCCATGATAGGAAACAATATTTATGTGGTACACTGGGGTGACCAACGAGGACCACTTTGGAGACTCTGGCAGCCCGATAGTCACAGGATCAGTTTCTTGATTGTGACAATTCCTTGCACACCAGCATGTTGAAGCAAACATGAAAGTTGGAAGGCTGACCTAGATTCTTAAATTGGTAGACAGGATTACAGCATTTATGAGTAATAAATAATCCAGTAAGAGATGCTTATGAATTAGATATGAAGTTTAACATTACTTTAGAAAAGATTATAGATGATTTTTAAGACCACATAGGTGGGAAACCTTTGTAAACAACACAAGCCAAATTAACCCTGTAGTGGTTCCCCATAGATATGTCTGTGTCCCCTAAGCCTTAACACTTATGAATAAGATATTTGGGGAAGAGTATTTTTTTTAGTGTAATTAAGGATCTTAAGATAACCCTGGGGGAAAAAAAAAAGATAACCCTGGATTTAGGGCGGGCTTTAAATCTACTTACTCAAACCCACCACACTCACTGCTATCAAGTTGATTCTAATTCATAGCAGCCCGTGGCAGTTACATAATCTCCTGTCAACTTATGCGAAGGGGTTTGTCCACTTCAATGAAGGGGAGTCTTGTCAATCAGATCATAGCCAATGGTGCCTCTGTGTGGGCATGGCCTTCTCCTGAGGATTCTGGGAACTTCCTCCTCCTCCCTGGAAGCGAGACACATTTTCTCTCTCTGTTCATCTTCCTGTTGATAGGCCCCATGGAGCCATGCTGATGACAGCCAAAGCCCTGGAGCTGGAGGAGCCACGTGGAGACCTGCACCAGGGCTGAGACGCTTCCACGGCCACTGAATCCACCGCTGGCCTGTGATCTTCCTGCATTCAGCATCATTGCATATACGGTATGAGTCTGAAGAGGAATATATAGACTAGTAGCAGACACATAGGTTAAGATTGGTCTTATGGACTTGATCTGGACTGGGATGTTTTCTTTATAATTAATTACTCTGATATAAAGCTCTTACACAAATGAGTATCTCTGGATTTGTATCTCTAGTCTACCAGAATAACACACAACCCTATATAGGTTTCCGATCATCTAAATCTACAGTAGGCAGTTTCATATTTATCTCAAGAAGAAGCTGGTGGGTTTAAATCGCTAACTCTGTGATTAGCAGTCCAACCTAACCCACAGTGCCACCAGGGCTCCATAAATCCCATGACAAATGTCTTTATAAGAGAAGAGATTCAAGACTCAGCTATACATATGAAGACATGGAAGAGACTAGAGTGGTGCAATCACAAGCCCAGGGACAGCTGCAACCACCAGAAATTAGAAGAAAGAAAGCAAAGCCTGGCCAGTGATGTTGAACTTCTGAGCTCTAGAACTGGGATAAAATTAATTTCTGCTGTTATAAGCCACCCAGTTGGTGACACATTTTAACAGCAACCACAGAAAACAAACACAAGCTTCCCTTCCTCTTTTTTTTTTTTTTCCCTTCCTCTTTTAATAGACAGAATTTTATGTGCCATGCAGAAATGGACTATCTGGAATTGGGCAGTGAAATTGACAAAGACTTTATAATACCCTTGTTTTATAAAGAGACAGTTTAGATGGGGAACCACACCTCCCTATTACTTTGTGAAATCAAATTGTTTTCCCACCAGAATGTAAGCACCACAAGGGTGAGGGCTTTGTATATTTTGTTTACTGCTCTATGAGGGGGTACT